TGTCGCTTTCTGAATTTCCTGATATCGATTGCGCCGTGAAGTGAGAACATTGGCAATTACGTATAAAGTCACCATGAGCCATTGTTGGTCGATCACAAGAGACCCTCTGCGGACTCAAGTCATTGCTGTAGCGCGAGAGTTCAATCAAGGCTATAATATTGGACGAAATTCCTATTTTCAAATTCTTGAAATGTATGTTTACATTGTAACATCATTTAGATTCTCGCAGTTACTTTTTCGCTGCCAGCAGCAGTGATAAAGAGATTCGACTGAAAATGAGATGCTCCTCCTCGTATCCTGTGAACGAGCGAAACTACTCGAATAGCTCTGGAGCTCTACAGAGACGAATAGAGACTTCATTGTTGTCGTCAGTGTTCTAAACTAGAGTTATTCGATGATTGCACAATATTCGATCCAATATCGTGGTAAGAATACTTTTATTGTGTTTATTTGTTACTATGGTTTTGAAAAACAGAGGCTGAATTCTGGCTTACATAAGCAGTTAAGCGTTTAGCCTATTTCAGTCCAGTTTTAGCCTGCCACAGGTCCTGATTATCAAAGTCGAACAAGTGATGACGATCAGGAGGAAGCGGTTAGCTATACAGCCTTTTGAAAATTGTTTCTTTAATATCGACGTTCAGTAATTGAGCTGATAGAGATAGAAAATCAGGATGACAGTTATTTCTAGTTTGTATTTGTTGTCTGTCTGGTTTTTTTATGGAGCTGCCAGCCTTCTCTGCGAGTGAAACCTGACCGATAGGATGGACTCGGCACTCTAGTTCATAGCTCGACATCCAGAACCATCCTCTAGCCATTATATGGCAATGAGCCAATTAGAATATAGAAGCACCAAACGTTCCAACGTGCAAAAGATTTTTTTCTGTTGAAGAGAACAAGTGCGCTATGCTCATTCTGAAAAAAGCAGCTTTGAGAAAGTTCGCTCTAGTTCGTCTCAGTGACTCCGACTATTCGAAACTGACTAATTAACGTGCCACATTGGTAGTAGGGTGGAAGAAAGTGTGAGCATTGTAAATCCATATTTTGGTCGCTTTTTCAGTTAGATATCATCAATAAGCTTGTGAAGGATTTAAATGATCTTAAACATTTTGATACGATGGCTTCACGTACTTGTTTTATATATATATATGCCTAAAATGAATGCTTCTGTTTGAAAATAATTGACATTTCTTCGAATTTTTTCTCCAAATTCTCACGGCAACCTTCTATTATTCTCACAAAGTTTTCCTTTGTCTCTAACAAATCAGTTTAGGACGAACATAGCCGTTTCAATCACGTGAGATTCGTGGTCGATTAAACGAGACCCAATAGGCTAGTTCCTTCTGACCCATTTATAAAGTGAACACCTATGAGCACCTCGATGCTTTGAGTATCGCTTAAAGAAACTTTTTTTGGGCAATTCCTGGCAGGTTCTCGTCGGCAATCCCTAGACATCTAACCGGAAATTGAAGTCTAAGTGTAAATTTATGTTAGAAATTCTCCAACATTGGAAATATCCATTGTAAGGCGTGAACTACTCTTTGATCACGAACGGTCGGCAACAGCAGAGAGCGACATACACAGCTGGAAAAAAGTGGAAAGAATACAGTGAAGCTGGTAGCAAATGTGTTAATCAGTATTGTATGTTATCCACTCGCATTTCTAATCACGGATGCCGTTCTTATATTTGAGTGCGTCTACACTCGTTGGTCTTCTTATGGTGTCATTGCTACGTTGACTTGACGAAAGTTTAAACACCTAGGTACAATGTTTCACCTACACCAAAAGTATGGCGTCGTAGACCATAAGAAAGCGGGCATTCTCCACTGAACTAACTCGTGCAGCTCTGGTTTTTTGAAGGAGACTAAGGGCAACACATCTTAATATCGTCAGATTTTTTAGACCTTCTTGGATTAGTTTGGACCCCTGATCTGTCATCTTTCTGTAAAAGACATCGTTTAATTGATGGAAGAGAATTAACATAAAATTTGTCACAGCAGCATAGACTGAACTGGAAAAGTTCAGACGCAGTCTGTTAAGCCATTTTATTGACAGTTTCTATTATGGTGGAAGATTTTTTGAAGATATTGAGACAGTGCTTCATATTTCTTCGGAAGCACATCTGAATAGGAAAAAAGAAACCACGTGAAACCGCAATACATAATGGTGACGTTTCAGGAGTCGCGATCATGTTTTTTGCGCGGCTTTCAAAGCATCTTTCCAAAAAACGATTAGCGTTCTTATTTATTGTGAAAATTCTTCAAGTGAAAAGAAAAAACTAATGCTGGGACCGGCTACATAATTCAGGCTAGTACTACTTCGGTAATTCTTGCTTTTTTTTATATTCTTATAAGAAGAGCCACACCCAGTGCCCCCATATGAACAGTGCGCCGCTTTGCGCAACCAACCGTTCTCCATGGCGAGGAACTGTTTCGAAGGCGCATTGCTTGATCTTTAACTATTGAAGAATTACCAATTTTTCAAAAGTTTGCTTTTGAGAACTGCATAGAAATGCGCTGTTTAAAGATTACAAATAAAGCTGCTACAATGCTGAGATATTTGCAAAACTGCGGACCGCAGGTGTCTGCTGTGGGGAACGAACGTGCTATTGCCCTTTCCGGAGAGTAACGCGTTCACCTCCACACCATGCGGGTTCTTCGTTTAGCCTGTCTCTCAGCTAGTTTTATCGATCGAGCCATCAGCAATCACCCGTCAACGGGATTGATCTGTGGAGCCCAACTCGCCATTGAACCCAGTTAAGCTGAAGCTTTAGTTATAATTACAATCTTAACCTTTTTATTTACTGCCTATTCTTTTTTCGATAAAGATCGACAGAACTATCTGAGAGACAGGCGAAACGAAGGTGTGGTGGTGAACGCGTTACTCTCTGGAAAGGGCAACAACGCGTTCGTTCCCCACCGCAGACACCTGAATGTCTCAGCATCATAGAGGTTATGTTTCGCAACATACCCTGCCATTAAAAGGAGTAGGCAGTAAATAAAAAGGTTAAGGTTACAAATAAAGTTGTAAATTATAAAGGTCCCTTTGAAACACCGATCATTACTAATTGCTCTCTGAAAAATACCGACCATCAAGACAAAGAGCTTTCAGCTATGTGCTCGATATCGCTTCTAAGTGATCTGCTAAAAGGTACTGTCTCCGGATTGTTGCTAGGCCTTATCCGTTGCCCGGGCTAAGTGATTTTGAGCGCTTCCCAGAGTTTCGATTTTTACGTCGTCGAACACACGGATTTCCTCTTTCACTTGTATGGAACTGGATGATCTCAGCATCATTTCCTGGACATGTATTCAAAAAGGAAGGGCGAGTTTTCATTTTCCTTAAGCAACATCGTGGCCATAAAAAGAAACCTTAAATTGTAAACAACAGTCGAGTATAAATATGAGTAGTGAAGATCACTTTTATGTCTACCACATCTCCAAGGTTTTGAACCTTCAAGACGTAAAGTTCAGCACTATTTCTGGAGCCAAATTGTTTATGGGATGAAATTTCCTTCTCGATTACATATAGCTAATGTATTCGAGAATATCCGTTTCGATAGGAGAGCTCTGAAAACCAAATGTATCTTCACAAATATTGTTTCCAAGTGCAATCTAAAGCCCATCTTTCACCCACGCGTTAAGCTAGGATTCGGTTGAAAATGAATAGTATTATTTGCTTATAAACGGCGTACAAAACCAGATTGAACGATAGTTGCAAACGTTAGCTGAAGTCGTCGTGATTGTCTTCTTCATTGCCCTCTCCGGATGCGACGACTACTATCTCTAATTGTCAAGAAACAATTTCCTTCATCCCGTAACTGGCGAACTCTCGGTAAGCGTTATGGATGCCCTTTTTAAATTTTCTGTGGCTAATCAGTGCTGATCATCGTTTCTCTTTTCTATTGTCCTTCATAACGTCTCGTAAAGAAAAACTATAAGAACTACAAATATCAGAACTAGTCAACTGTTCAAATTTAGAAAGAGACAGTATCCTGAGCATTTTTTCTCAGTATGACGAAGACTGCTTCTCTATATCTTGACTGCAGGGAAGAGAGTGACATCAAAAAGATGTCATCATTTGATGTCTACGTTCAGTTTCTCACAACAACCTTAACAATACCAATACGGTGACTGAAACGAGGAATTTTTCCTATTATTCAAATTAGTCAAAGAATCAACGACGAAGGTTAAATGAGGAAGTTCATAGGCGTTATATACTGGCGATCTCTCGTTTAAGATATTTTACGCAGCGCAGAGTCGAGCTGCCGTGTAGTACATGCATGCTAAACGGTTCAATTCCCTTCGGCCGACTTATCAAGGCCCACTACCTTGAGTGCAGCAAACTAATTCAAAATTAGGCAGCTGACCACTGCAATTCTAAATCCGTATGGACCAAACTTACATTCAGTCTACTCTAATATGCATGAAACGAGGCGAATTCATGGCGCAAGCTAAGAGTTTGATTAAAGTGCTGAGCAGTTTTTCTTTTGTTTCTTAACGCAACGTTGCTGAACACTTACACTGAAGCCCATATTTCGGCGATGTGCCCACCACTAGAGTTGCGTCAATTATCTTATATTGTTTAGCGTAATCAAAGCGTGTTGAACCGAAAGGAATTAGGTACTGATTGAGTAGCATCAGTACCGCTTTATTCAATACCCTTCTTGCTCGATCAATCTAGAAAGATCCAATTCCTCGGCCTAAAGACTCAAATTTTCTAAATGAGCGGTCGCAATTTTAATAGTGCACAAGTGTAAGTCTACTGGATTTAGACCTGTAGCGTTGCTACAAATACTTCGGTTACATAAGAATTATCAATATTTTATTATATTTTCCATGTGAGCAATAACAGTATCCTATTGTCACGTAAATATAATCTTTAAAAAGAAAAGTGGAAAAAACAATTGGAAACAATATTGCACACAAAATCTAAGAACAACCGATCAGAAAAAAAGGAATAAGAGAAATATGGCGGATTTGAGCTTTTTTTTTTCTTTCTGCGTTTTAACACAGCGGTCGTACATCCTTAAGTGAACCTTCAGATTCTACCATACCCAAATCGTCTATTGCACAAGCTCCTTGATTTGTTCTCGTGTTTTCACAGAGGAAAATCACCTAAAAACTATCCATTCTGAAACTTTTTTAGTTCGGTAAGGAAAGAAACTTTTGCTCATATTTCGTAGAAACATTAGTAATTGTGGTTTTTGACATGTCTTAAATACATTTTTTTAAAGTTTCATTACTAGCCGTTGGTTCTAAGACAGAGTATAGGCACCTAATTAGATGAGTAGAACAGAAAAAAATTGGTCGGAAAAGAATGAAGGAGTAAAAGGAGTACCTTAGTAGTTCCCTTTGAACATCGAAAACTCGCTGTCTTCCAGACGCGATCCGATACTTTTACGAATTTGTCGGAACTGAATGGACATGTCTCAATGGAATTGCAGCATCCTGAAGGTTGTAGATTTTAATAACAAGTGAACGATTTACCGGGTTTTTTACGAACACCTGACTTATAAGTTTTCGTGCTACCTTTAAGTTGCACTCCATGTGTTCCTTCGTAGTACTGAAAGCGTAGTCGAGAATTCTCAGTGAATGGTTCTGTATTTGCTTCAAGGCCTGCCATTTCTCGCGGGAAAAGGAACGTTGCTGCATAATAGTCACCTTCTAAAAATATAAGGAAGACACTGAAAGTTGGATCGCATAAATAATAAAGGGAAAAAGCGTAAAAGACAATAGAACGATAGAAGACAAGGAATTTAAGATCGAACAATCCCTTAAAGAAAAATTCCTCGCCAGGGCTATGAATTCTCGGTGCCCAGAACTCCTACCAACTCAGTGTTCTCTTGCCATCCTCAAAAAGTCTAAAATCGATTCACTCAAATTTTTTCGTCCGTCCTTGGTCTTTTCATTATTCTTTCGATCAAATCAGTAAACGAGTGTTTTTCGTAGATTCAGATTCGAGAATCAGCACTCCTCAATAATAAAGAAAGCTCCAGGCACCGATCAATCCCTGAGGGATAGACCATGCATTCGACTTCATTAAGCATCGTTTGGAGGTGATTGAATGCATACCAGCCCTTTGCAATGAATGGCAGTGGCCTACCGATTTATTGAACCAGTAGTGTTATCCTCCCAGACAAGTTTGGCACCACCAATTTCTCGTCCCCGGAGGGATAGAAGGGTTGCTGGGCCATGGGCGCGAGGATCAATTAAACGTGTGTGTCGCAGGGCGCCACACGCGCCCGTAATACTGCGAAAAATAGAGCTTTATTTTTATATTTCCAAAGCTTCGTGTAAATATAGTGATTGAAAGAAAAAAGAGTTTGTCGCAATCGATGCTCACCAATACTTTCTTTGACTCCGGTTACTCGATTCATAAATTGCCCATTCACTACTTCGAATTTTGTAGTCAGACCACGAATCGACTGCGACTGATAAGCGTCTTTGTAGTGGCACGTGTTCCCTGTAACCGTAGAATGAAGAGAAAAGAAAGAAATGACGACAAATTCAACGTTCAGTATGAATATAGCATTCACTTTATTATATATACTTCATTGTATTGCAAATAATAAGAAAAGGATAAAGCTCTCGGGCGGATGGAAAGCTTGGTGGACGATGGAAGAGGGGATCGACTCCAAGTGTGTGCTGCAAGGCGCCTCCGACCCCTGCCCCACACGCTCCCCTCGTATTGCAAATGTAAAAATCAGTATATTTTACCAGTTTTTGGGAGGTACAAATTCCAACTTACCGTTTTCAAAATCACATTTTGTTGCCGAACAAATACTTTCACTAAACATTTGCGTCTTCGTTCCTTTCGCAACATTTTGTCCAGTGCTACTGAAAACATTTCAATTAATAGTTTTTTAGAAGAATGAAGAAATATCTCCCCTATAAGAGCACGTAACAAGAAGACTACACTCTAGGTTCAGGATTTCAGACGAAACTTAGAAATATTTTCCGAAAGTGAACCAGTTTGTGAAAACCCATTTTTTAATCTAGAAGAAAAAAGGTAAATAGATGAAAAACAATCAATTTGTCTATAATACTTTGAACTATCCATTTCATTTATTCATTGAATTGGATTTGTTACTTACGTCTTTGTGCTTTTGATAACGGCCTCTTCAACATTGCGGTTAATGCCTTCAGATTTCGCTGAATCAAATGCAGCATTTCCTCCCTTAAGCAGTACATTTATCCTTATTAGGCAAAAAAAACGACACATCTAATAAAATTTTGAAAGTTTTCCAACAATTTACAACGATTTACAGCAATAACAACAACAGAAGGTAAGAGATATGGATCCTTTCACTAAAATCTATGACAGCAGTTAGATCCTTCCTTTCATTTTTAAATACTCCTCACGATTGAGGTGATTCACTGAAGATGACTTAAGCTAAAGAGGTCAAGTCTCACCTTAAATCCTTCCTCGCCGAAGCGTTCAATCGCAGATTTCGCACTTGAGACTTCGGTCGAAAGCCTCGTACGCATCTCCTTGACATGTTTCTCTACGACGCCTTGCGCCTTATATGCTGCTTCGAATTTATTCTGTAAATCGTTCCATTCCGAGACTTTCCAGAGTACTTTTCAACAAACTCGATCAACAACGAAGAAATTGACGATTAGTGATTTTCTATGTTCTCGAACAACTAGAGATGAGCCTCGCCATGAAGACTGTTACATTTTCGAAGTTTAATTTTAGCTTGGAGGAATATCGACAGAAAGAAATGATTTCACAAGATTATAACAGATTTCAAAAGTGTTTGAATCATCTCCCAGCATGCGAAACACAATTTGACATGGATCGCAGACTCTTTTGCATTTGTTAGTTCCAGAAATCTTCAATGGACCTAACCTCGTGAACAGCAGCGTCATTGTTATTATCTCCATGACCAGTCTTATCGTCTCGAATGGGAAGTCTCTCAGTTTTTGTGGCTTCGCTTTTTAACTTTTTCAGTTTCGATATCAGTTGAGTTTCTGCAACATTGCTCTGCAGTTGCTCGTCGCTCTAGAAAACGAAAACAAAAATATTCACTACAGTGAGTGATTTCAGATTTATTAATCATCTGAAAACTCTGCTTTTTAAGGATGTCTTCAATTTCAACAAATTGAAGACAGTTGGTCCTTCATTTTTCATTTTTATTACCTTTCTTCGCCTAAAACATTCTGTGGACTTTGGTTGTCAAAAAAGCAGTCAATGACGTAGCAATAAAGTGTGTGGTTTCTTCAAATAGTAATTTATGTTTACCGATTCTTCACATTCAGGACCATTCCTATCGTATGAGACTTCAATATCGTTCAAAATGGCCAAATCTCCAATCTCTCCAATAAAATTTGATGCAACAAAAACAATCTGAAAAAAAGGAAGGAAGGAAAGAGAAAGGAAAAACAAAACGTATTTGTTAACTACGAAGAATATTTTTACTCACATCAACTAAAGACGTCTTAGGTAGAACAAGTTCAGTGGCCGTAAGTCCATCGGAAGCTGGGAATTCTTGACAGTTTAATAGCGGATTATATACAACACCAGCGTTCGGAAATGATTCACGAAGACAAACTTGCAACAGTACATTTTCCGATGTCCAATGTCTAAATAACGCAATGAGGAAGTGTTGGAAAAATGCTTGAATACTTTTTTCGGTAATCTTTTCTCTACATTGAATGGTTTTTTATAAATGAACTGTAAAACAAAGATAATGAAGTGGTGAAAAAAACATACCGTACTCTTACAGTAATATCACTAGCTGAGCATCCGATTGAACAAGAAGCAAACTGCGCTTCATCTGACGGGGCTGCTCCACGAGCATAAGCCAGAAGGTAACTGCCAACTAAACAAGTTATTATAAAATAATTTAAGTCACCTCTTAATATAATCTAGCTTCCTTGACCTAGATTTCCAAAAAACGTTTTTCATATTTTCTTCTTTGTTTCAATCGATTTGGTACTGGAAAGATAGTACTGTTGCGAAACATTTACACGATTTTATTATTTTGCAACGAACGTTTACTCACCAGAAAGCTAGCTTTTGAAAAATTCAGTGAATAAAATAATTGGTGGTTAATATTCGAATTGCTCTTTCTCATAAAGACCGATGCTGGGCCGGCTTGATCTCCACTTAATTGTCATTTTGCAAATGTATACGATAATATTTTCTTAAATTTGCAGCTTTCCTATGTCTTTTTCTAAGCAACAATCGGCTAGTGCAAGTTGTGTGGTGAATTGCTATTCTGCGAGTAGATGCCCACCAGTATTGACAGTGATTACCGGCACTGATTACTCTCAGATGAACTTGTGGATTAAAATTTTGAATTAGTTATCAGCTCTGAGGACCATAGTTATAGACCATCATTATATGTCGCTGCTTGAAACCCAGTAATACTCCTCAGCCACTACGATGAACTTAGCTAAAGCACAGTTAAAGTAAGGTAGTGTTTTGATAAAAACAGTATGTGTTAATTCTAGAAACTCACTTATGCCAAGTGATCATGTTCCACTATTTATGGCAAACTATTACTAGTTTTTGCCAAAAACATCACTAGTCTGCTGTTTTCTCCACCGTTATAGAATCGAATCGAGTGGAGCTGGTTAGCTCACGAATTAAATCAGGTCACCACCACTCTTAGCCCAAGATGAGCATTAATCAAAAGCTTATTAAAACCATCATATTGATAGTTTTCGCCGAGCTTGAATAAATGTCAGCTCCAGAACTTCTGATATAATAGCCGAACATGTAACTATGCTTGTCAGATTTTAGTTTCCCTGCAAATATCTTCGTTAAACCCTATTTTTCAATTTTGCTTCGCTGGTAACAAGTGTCGAACTATGGTTTGTAAGTTCATCGCTGCATGGATTGTTTACACTGTAAAGAGCTCGATATTTCCATAAGGAAACAGAGGGAGAAATCCCATAAAACACCTCTAGCTTAGAAGAAATCTAAAAGAAAGATGATCAACATTTCTGTCATCAAAAAGACTTGGAGACATATTTTGATGGTGACCTGGAAACACACTGGTACGGCTATGACGGAACTCTATGAAAAAAGCTCATCAACTATGAAAATATCAGACAAGTGGGGAATTTACATGGCCTGCATAAAAACGAGGGAATTATTCAAGTGTTCAAGCAACCTAATAAGTGTTTTTATGAGCAAAAATTTCTCATAGTGACTCAACATTGAGCCTTGACGGGTGGTAGATGGGCTGAGTGACCAGAAAATTTGCCACTAGTATATAAGAGTCAGCCGTTCGTGTAAATATTTACTGATATACCTTGGGAAATTGCATAAAAATTGAGTGTGTTCGCCCGTGTGTGAGCATGTGTGATTGCGTGGTGTGTGGTACGTGTATGTTCTCGTGTTTGCCCCTCTGTGTGTGCGTGTGTGTGTGTGTGTGTTTGTGTGTGTGTATGTATGTATATATGTATGTATGTATGTATGTATGCATGTATGTATTCATTTATTTATATATGCGTACATATGTGTATGTGTTTGTATGTGTATGCATGTACGTACGCCTGTGGGTGTATGTGCGTGTATTGAGCCATGTATCTATTCATGTATATATGTATATATGCATTCATATGTGTATGTCTGTGTGTATGTTTGCATGTGTTTGCATGTATATATGCGCGTGTATGTAAGTGAGTGTGTGTGTGTGTGTGTGTGTGTGTATTGAGGCAAGTGGGCAACTCCATCTGTGTGGCCTAATCGGATTTGAACACCTGAAAACCAATGCGATACAACCGACGATGTCAGTCTTGGTGCTCCTTTCGTCTCAGGAGATCCGCGCTATGGTGCGATATCCAGGCGATTCGAATTTTGATATGTACACGATAATTCGCAAGCAAGATCTATTGCCTCAAACGTCACAAGTCCACACTATGAACATTTCTGGACGTGGTTTTAAGCGCAAATGCTGCTCGCAACACTAAATCCGAAATTAACGGTTGTATACGTTTCAATAAACCAAATCCGGGTGAAGGTCTACGGTTCACATCACTTCTTGATAGCTTAGGGAAACAACAAAGACCGCATAGTTGGAAGGTGCTTAGATGAAGATGCAACTTCAGTTGTGAAGAATGTGGTGATTTCTCACTAAAATTCTTGCAACAGTTATAAGAAAAATGAAAAGAATATAGTTTAGAAAAAGCAAGCATGTTAGACAAATGGTCATTAAAAGACTAACAAACATAAATTGCAAAAAGAAAGGCAACGAAAATAAAACCCGACCAGATTATTAGTAAGAAAATAAAATTCCTTCAAAAGATGAATACGGTGAATTCGTTAAATGTAAATCGCACACTAAACTTTGTATTCTTGTTGCTTATTCCGTATGGTTTTTTCGTCTGCTTCTCTTCAAAGCGTTATTGAATGTTCTATTAGAATTTTGGTTCTCGGCATGTCATGACAAATTTGAAGTAAACGTTTGTTTTAACGTTTTGTTTTCTGCCTTCTATAATTTTCATGGCAGGTTACTAAGCGAAATACAACCACAATGTTGCTGA